ACGTAACATGAAATTCAATTTACTTAATTGTAATTAAAGAAATAAAGTAAAATAAATGTTAGTCAGAATGCGCACACTTACCCCAATATTGGGGTAAACGTGCGCAGCACTGCGGGTAAGTGTGCGCATTTGTAATAATTTAAACCATAACTTGTTACATATAGTTAGACCATATTTAATGTTATAAATATTATTTTTTATCAATACTTATCATTTTTTACTTCATTTTTTATATTTATATATTAAATATATAATTTTTGACGAATACTGTTTAACTTGATTTTTATCTAGAATAAGGCTTAGAGTAGTTAACAGTTTTGAATAGAGATAAATTCAAATGAGATCGTTTTTAACGAATATGATAAAATCTTAATTATTAGAACATATATCACATATGAAAGCACCAGTTTCATAATGAGTGCACTGTTCATGCCACCAGCTATGACAAGCTACATTTAATCCAATTCTCTGTAGGTGGATCAACGTATTTTTCACCACACAATGCACAGTAATCATCATTTTCCTTAAAATCATTAATATTTTCTTGACTAGCCTTAACTTTAAAGGCCTTATCTTTGGTAGTAGTATTCTTCTTTGTTTTTTTTTTAGAATTTTCAGTTTTATTTGCTCTAGCTATGCTAGTTGACGTGGGTTGTCGTAAATTCAAGTCAAGGTGCCTTTTTAAAAATCCATACACCCAATCACGTCCAGCCATTTTCGACTTTTGATTAAACCGATACTCGTAGATCAATGTTCTTAGAGTTGTCATATTAAGACCATAATAGAGATCATCACATCTTTTTAAATAATTATATATTTCATTTTCTTGCTCACTTGTGAAAGTTGAAGTAAATCTTCCTAATTTTAGAGCAGTTGAATCAGATTCTAATCGCTTCCTGAGAGTACTCTCTTTCATTCCAACCTGTTCAGCTGCTTTTCTTTTACTTAAACCTTCGGCAATCAATCGCTTAGCAGCATCAAATTGATCACGGGTAACAACGGACCTGTGCGGAGCCTTCCGCTTGTAATTTCGAGGCATTGTAGTTTTTTTTTAAGAAATATATAAGTATAACCTGAAACAAATAACAACGAGTGTCAATACACAAAGAACTCACTATCGGGGTAAAACTACGCATTAAAATATGCGTACTCTTACCACACAACCGTATGCGGACACTTAACCCTAATCGCCTTTACAGATTTAGTTTAAAATTACACATTTTTGCGTCATTCTACCAAGTTTTGATGTATAGCTGATAAAATTAGATATATAAACGAGCATAATTGGACTTAATTAATACTAATTACCGCTACATAAATATAAAAGCATTTGAATTCTAAATAGGAAAAAATCGTAAGAATAATAACCAAAATTTTTACTTAGCAATATTACTAAAACTACGTAACTTTGCCAGACAAGACTTCTAGTCTTTTGTCCAACGTCGTAGTGACTACTGAAGGCAGTTGATTCCCCTTTTATGTATTTTTTCAAATGTAAAATTGATAAAAAGAAAAGAATGATAAACAAATTTAAAAAATCGGTGCCCAAAAGTGCAAAAAATAGCATATGTACCACGTGACTAAAGTTTGTTTTCTCTCTCGGCGAATTGTAGCCCTCGCTAAAAAAAATAAATAATAAATAAATAAAAAAAACAAAATACACAAAACAATGTTATAAATAATTTTTTTAACAAAACGTTACGTTGATATTCCTATGGGAAAATACGTGCATTTAAAGTTAACCGTGAGGGGATAAGAATATAACTGTTTTTGACAGATCCGGCGACATTTGGCGACATCGCATCTTACTCGGTTTTAAAGTAGAAGTTTCAAGCATTTCATTAAGGTATATAACTTATCGAGAGTTTACATGTATTAACGTTTAAAAAAAGGGGCAATGGTGGGCCAATCAAAAGGAAAAAAGGAATATATATTAATTACATTAATAATTCTAAATATTAAAAATACATACCTTGAACACCAATATCTATTGTGGCACCATTTGGTTGCACAATTTTTAGCGCAAAACTATATAAATCCAGGTAAAGTCTGTTCATAGATATAAGAAAATCACTTAATGATACGAATTGCTGAACAGGTCCGTACTTTGCTTAGAATTTAATTATTTAGGGTTTTGTTAGGAAAAATACTAAACAATATCTATTTATTTATGTTTAAATCTAAAAGAAAATTACAAATTATTTTTGCTACCTACTTAAATTACTTAAAATTATTCACATAATATATCAGTATCACTATCGCTATCATCGCCTGTTCTAATTATTATTTGTTTTATATTATTTGCAATATGGATATACGATTGTTCTGCTTTTTCTATATGTTTAACAGAATTTGCCCGACTTTGTGGACGGATGTTAAATCCTTTTGTAGGTTCAAGCTTTGTAGAACCTCAATTAATTGCTTTTTGGTACAGTGTAAAAATAAATGTCGCTGTATACATGTTGCTTTGGTTAGTTTGGTTAGTTATTCTTTTACCCCTTTTTGATGGCGCGTTTGTTTTACACTTATCAGTTGAGTCAACCCAACCCTTTTCTGGGCTTTTATAAGTGTCGAACCAGGTTTCCTACAAGTAAATAATTGGCCTTCTCCGCAAATCCTCATTTTTTCCAGATATTCCTGTCGCCATTTCCGAATTCAAAAATATTCCATTAAAGCTTGCCTTTCGTCAATTTTTTAAAATCTAAAACCCATGTGTTGAATACACTTCCATAAGGTAGTTCTGCCACATTTAACGCCGGTTTTATCTTCTTCAAGCCTCCTAATTAAGATATCTAATGTAGGCACGCTTTGTTCCTCGCGTAAGTGGTAAATTTTACGCCGTATTACCACTTTCATCTACTCTCGAGAAAATGTCAGCATCGCTTCTTTTTTTCCTCCGCTGAAATGGGATTATTCACAATTTTCCATACAGTCGATGTTGGAATTTTCGTCAATGTGGCCGTTTCTTCTAAAGATGCTTGCTTGCTGGCACCACGTTCAATGAGAGTCAAATAAACATTGTTTATAACTTCCTTAGTCTCAACAGAATAGTGTTTTCTACGTTTGGGCGGGAGCATCTCCTGAGATACGCTAGACTCGCACATATTTTGCATAATTCGCACACGGTTCAACAAACCAAAGAATATTAAACACAGGTAGGTTTAAAATTATTTTCTATTACGGAGCACAATTTTACCTGAATTTAAATTCTCAAATTATAGGTAATAATCTTGTTGCATTGTATGTTAATGACCACACTTGGATAATCCCACTCAAAAGCAATTGGTCACTTTCTTATATCTATGAACAGACCATAGCAATACACACGAAAAAGTTCACCGACCTTCGTAATACAAAAGGTGCACAATTATGTTTGACGAACTTCTCACTCTGACGAAAGAAATCGTAGTGGGGGACTAGCTAATACCGGATCTTCTTTTATAATAATTATAATTAGACATTTCTGAGAAACTTAACCAGTTTCTGGGGCAGAACAAAATTATGACCGCAGTTCACTGCATTTACATCTGGATAGCTATAGTTTGTTTATGGTTCAGTACATTCACTTCCAAGATTAAGATTGACAATGTCAAGATTGTAGGTTAGGTTGGCAAAAAGCGTGACGTAAGTGGGCTTCCCCATAGGGACACCTATTATTATTATTAGTATTATTTGTTATGACTGAAGTTTGTCAATAAACTTATATAATTAAAACAAATATAATTATAAAAACAAAATTTTTATTTTTTTCCTTGTTTTTAAATTTGTTTATATAAGACCTGATGTAATTATGCTCTACTATAGAGCTTAATAACTCCTTTGAGAAAAAAGCTACCAAGGCGAACGAAAAATTAACGTAACGTTACAAAAATGGTGGCCGTTGATTGCCATGATTTGAGAAACAATCGGATTTGTTACTTTTTAGTTGTCAAGTTTGTTCGTATTCGCCGTTTGGTTAAAGGCTTACTTTATTTAAAGATATCCTTTTTATCTGTACATCGAGTGCGATTAGTCCGTCGGTATAAGCACTTAAACGAAACGCCTTTACTGCCAAAATTTCTCCACATTTCGTCCGATGAAAACCTCATCCCGGCCCGTTTCGCGTTTCGTACACTGAGAAAAAAGATCGATTCCTGAAAATAAAGCACCTTTGTGTGTATTATTGCAATTCTACTTGATTCGTTGAAAGAAGTTGAATATTTATTTCAGGCGATGTAAAAATAACATTTGATTGAACGACATCGAATCAAATTTGCTATCTTGAGGTCAGTTTCTTCGCGTAGCCACTTGTTACTGTCGAAAATCGATGAAATCGGATTTTTCGAAAGTATCTACGCCCGTATAATAATTGTATATGTCGGTAACGGTAGGACCTATGGGATCGCTATCGGTACAGAAATGATCGGCTCGAAAAACATTTTTTTTTCGAAAATGCGTCATGAACAGACCTTCTCAAAAATTTTGTGACGCGGTTGCTTCACGACTTCCAATGCAATTAGCATAGACAGGGCTAATAGCTATATGATTTTACTTAACGTTTCCACTATACTGCACTGTTATTTCCTTTTCTATTTTGTAGTTTTTTTCTTCAAACCGGCGATTATTTCATTGTGGTTATTACTTTTTGTCAACATCGAAACGAAGGAATTTTTTTCCCGCTCCCCAGGCCGTTGTAACTCGCAGTCGAAATTTAAATCGGCCCCCCGCCCCTAAACCCCGCAGTAAGTGGCTTTTGTTGGCCGCAATCGCGAGCGGCTAATTTCCACCGCGCTCCCGCTATTATTACAAATCATATTCATAATTGCCAGGCAAACAAATGCCGCCCGCGCGTCGCGCTCCCCCCACACGTCGAACCACCACGCCCGGCCAATCGGCGTGCGCGACGTCGCGCGCGCCGGCCAATCGCGAGCGCGCCTCCCTTTCCCGCCGATCGCCTGCCGCACCGCCCTCGGTCCCCACTCCGATTTAGTATCGTCGCGGCAGCGATGGGTGACGGACGTTTTGTGGCGCCTATCGCTTGATCTCGAACCATGACAATGTTGACGATCATGGAACAGCGCGTTCCGGGCAACTACAAGACGCGCGAGACGACGGAAGCGAAACGCGTGTCCGACGAGTCCGAGGACGACGAGGATCTCCACGTGGACGTGGAATCGGCGGCGGAGGATATCGCGTTGTGCCCCGTCGATTTGACCCGACGCGATTTCGCCAAACGAACGGACAGTGTTTGCAGTGACGACGGTGGCGGAGGGGCGGCGAGTCCCTCGTCGGCGGTGACCACGCACCCGGACACGCGGCTTGCGTTCTCGGTCGAGAATATCCTCGACCCAAATAAGTTTACGGGTCGACAGTCGTTGTTTAGTGACGCTATTTGTTGTTGGAAGCCGCTGGAGGGGGCGGCGAGGGAGTGCCACGACTTCGAGGGCAGCGACGCAGGTAATTTGGTGACGGGGGACAGAAAAACACAAAAAAACTTTACTTGACAATCGAATGTAGGGTTTAGGAGAAAATGTACACATTTGAGATAGATATTTTTAGGTCCGTACGCAATATTAGCCCAAAATAGAAATAAGCCGAATTATCAGCGCATTTCTTTTTAACTTTTAACGAAATAAAACTCCATTTCGCTTTTAAGAAAGAATAATAATAATGAAATTGCATAGATTTCAAACTAATGTCAGCAGTGCCAAATAGAAAAGGAGTTGTCAAAAAATTAGATTTGATGCGCAGTATAATAGTAGTATTAATCATTATCAACTATTTAAATCCATTTTACTTAATCGAAGAGGGTTTTAGCATTCGAAAAAAATAATTACAAGAATGAAATTACATTCGCTTTTTTGTTGAGACATATCTGATTATATTTTTACTTTAATGTCTCGACTAGAATATTTAATTCAATAATCCGCAACGTTGCCAATTATTCTCTTATTGCTCCAATAAAATTTTGCCGAAATTTCCTACCAACCGACATTAACAAAATATACAGGGTTTTTCACTTAAAACTCCGCACGCCAATAACTGCAAAACGAAAAGAAATATTTAATTTATGTAAAAAGTACTCAAAGTACAAAATATATTTCCTAAAGTTTAAAAAAATTGACGCCTGCAAAGAGCTGGGCGTCGCGACGCATCGAAAAATTATTCGATTCCAAATACTTTGGAAATACGCGCATACAAAAGTACATATTATTTAAAAACTTTTTTGTCATTTACTCAAACTTATTTACTTTACCCGTTTCTAAGTTATACCGATTTAAAGTAAACATTTCTTGATTAATAAAAAATGTGATTAACGCTTATTTTTACAAGTATGCCATGAATGTTAGTTACTATGGCAACCATTATTATCGTCGTTATTTTAAGTGCAATTACAAACAATAGATTTCAACTATTTTAGTATGATTTGATTTATTATTTTGTATCGATTTAGTTCTGATAACATGATAAATAAATGAAAAAACAGTAAAATACCTACAAGTTAATAACCAAAATTATTATTGCAATTAACTACATAATAAGACATTTCAAAAATTTTGTTCAAAATTATGTCCATCTGCTCGAACACAACTATGAAAAACTTTTAACAGATGAGCTTGGGTCACTTGTAGGAGAGTCCTTCTTGTGATAGCGGCACACGCTGCACTAATTTTGTTAATGAGATCAGCCATATCTTCGATAGGTTCTTCATAGATAACGTTTTTTAGGTAGCCCCAAAGAAAATAATCTGGTGGTGTAATGTCCGGGGACCTCGCCGGCCACTTTACCGGTCCATTAGTACCAAACCATCTATTGGGATATTCTCGGTTCAAATACCTCGTTACTATTTGGGCATTATGTGCGGGCGCTCCATCCTGCTGTAGCCACATATTCATTCTAGTGTCAAGAGGCACTTCTTCTAATAGTTCCGGAAGTGTAGTTCGAAGAAATCTTAAATAGCGATCTGCATTTAAAGTTCCTTCGTAAAAGTAAAGTCCAATAAGGAATCCATTTAATATGCCGCACCAAACATTGATACTAAAAATTCGTTGGTTACCTCTTTCTGTTTACATCTTGGCTATACAAATCGGACAATGTCGCTAAGAAATACATTCTTCTAGCATAATCGCCTGGTTCTAGTTTATGAACTAGTTTACTTTTGTACTGGTGAAAAGAGTTTCTATGTAGAATTCTCCACGAAGAACTTATGGTAACAACGGTATTTTCTTTTATCTCTGATAGGGATATCTTAGGGTTATTATCAACCTGCTGAATTACAGCAGCAGTATTTTCATCATTTGTAGCCGTCCTGTTGCTATCTCTTTTAGGTTTTATGATGCTGCCATATTCTCTTAAGTTTTTACATAAACTTGAAAAGGTTTTTACATCGGAGACTCTTCTATGCGGATAACGCCGTGCGTAAACTCTTTTTACTTCTCTACAATTGCATCTGCATTCTCCAAACACCAGTAACATGTCTACTTTTTCCTCATTGCTAAATTGCGCCATTTTCACATAATAATTCTTAGTTTTTTTTAAACCGAACAAATTTGGATATTTCTTGTGACAAAATGTGACAATTTTTTGATACAGCAATAACAACTTACGTTTGTAATTGCACTTAAAACAACTGCGATAACAATGGTTGCCATAGTAACTAACATTCATGGCATACTTGTAAAAATAAGCGTTAATTACATTTTTTATTAATCAAGAAATGTTTTCTTTAAATCGGTATAACTTAGAAACGGGTAAAGTAAATAAGTTTGAGTAAATAACAAAAAAGTTTTTAAATAATATGTACTTTTGTATGCGCGTATTTCCAAAGTCTCTGCAATCGAATAATTTTTCGACCCGTCGCGACGCCCAGCTCTTTGCAGGCGTCGAATTTTTTAAACTTTAGGAAATATCTACTTGACCCCACACTTTGACTACTTTTTACATAAATTAAATATTTCTTTTCGTTTTGGAGTTATTGGCGTGCGGAGTTTTAAGTGAAAAACCCTGTATATTATATAATTTATTCTAAGAATTTGACAATTCTTAATATCGCGTGCGTTTAGCATTAACTTGAATACAAAAATTATCGCTTGGAATGTTATGTACATATTTATTTGCTGCATGGTGAATTTACTGCACTATGTCGCACTTTATTTCTCTAAGTACTAAAAAATAAATCACTTAGTTGCAAGGTAAAATGAGTTTGAATAAAATGCTAATGAAAAATTTTCCTTGATGGTATAATTTTGAAAATGGTGAAGTTTGTTTTTAAATCAGCTCAGAGAAGAATCTTTAATATTTTTCGCAGACAGAGAAAGTCCATTTGGAATCCAACCATCTTTAGAGCCAGCATGCGAAATAGTTATTCTTTTACCTCTTTTTGATGGCGCGTTTGTTTTGCACTTGTCAGATGAGTCAACCCAACCCTTTTCCGGGGCATCATAAGTATCGAACCAGGTTTCATCGCATCGCTTCTTTTTTTCCTCGCTGAAATGGGATTATTCACAATGTTGAAATTCTCGTCAATGTGACCGTTTCTTCTAAAGATGCCACGTTCAATGAGAGTCACATAAACATTGTTTATAATTTCCTTAGTCTCAATAGAATAGTGTTTTCTACATTTGCATCTTCTGAGATACACTAGACTCGCACGTATTTTGCATAATTCGCACACGATTCAGCACACGCTGTATTACGCACGAAATAAGAATGATTACTAATAAACTTAAACTAACTAGTATATCAAACGAAAGAATATTAAACACAGGTAGGTATGAAATTATTTTCTATTATGTTAATGACCACCCTTGGATAATCCCATTCAAAAGCAATTGGCCACTTTCTCATATCTATGAACAGACCATACAGTAAATCCGGAAGTTATCCATTCAGAGGATATCCCTGGGATGTACTATACAGTATATACTTAGTATATATGCTAACGTATATCCTAAGAATTTCCTCCACATGGCCCGGGACATGCGATTTAAATGGGACATTGACCGGATACACTGCTAGAGATTTGATAATTCATACGGGCTTTTCGGCAGTGCAACAATCCAATATGGCGACCGTAAGAAAAAATAAAGTTGATGATGATGATTTTCGGACGTGACCATAAGATGAACCCTGAGAAGTTCCAATTAGAATGTATTTACAGATTTTCGCAAAGTAAAATAAAAATCAAAACCGGAAGTGTCCGCCATATTCCCGGAAGTAACGAAAATAACTTCAATTTCGAAACGGTACGTTGTCGACAGCCAATTTGCCCTAATTTAAGTCACCCGGTATCTTTTGCCGGCACCCAGATCCTAATGGTGGGTGTCGAATTTGAAACACGCGGTATAGTCTAGATTTGATTAGGATGCGGGGACGCTGGATGAGCGGATGTGGGATCCAATTTCGGGGCGGGGGCGGCAGCGATCCACCCGCCCCCGCGGTCGCGGCGGTGACGTATGATTAGGCGGGCCCCGTAATTCGAGAACATTACCCGAAATCAATATACGAGGGCACGCGTCGACAACCACGGTTTAACCGCGTTTTGACTGCGGTTTGTCGGGGGCGCCTGGCGGCGGCAAGAATAAAGCAGAAAAAAGCCACTCTCCGATTTGCTTCGCTATATACGGAGCGTTTAAATTAAAAAAAAATACAATACAAATGTTATTCAAGTTGTAGAATTTGTTAAAAATTTGGGTCTATGTATATGAAATTCTTGAATCACGTTAAGCACATCTCCAAACAATGTTATATGAGTTTAAAATTGTTATATTCAAAGAAAGATGTATTGTCCTACGATATGAAACTACAGTTGTGTCAAAGTGCTGTCCTCTCCCGCTTGTCTTATTGTAACATTGTGTATTACCCCTGTTTGGACGCTGTTACATCTTATCGTCTACAAAAAAACCAAAATACTTGTTGTCGCTTTAATTTGACCGCATATCCGCCTCTCTCGAAAGACTGAATTGGTTAAAAATCAAAGATATTTTCAAATACAACTTTTCATGCCAACATTCCAAAATATTTGAATGGCAAATTAGTATTTAGGAAATCCGTTCAAGTCTTGAATCAAGACACCAATTACACTGGTCCGCCAAAAAAAATTTTTTCTTCTCTCCTTGTTTCCATGCATGAATTCATCTTATTTTGTGCTCTAAACACGGAATCTGATATACAAACAAGTACCACACGTAGGTTTTTAATTTAATATTTATTTAATCAATAAACAATATTATTAAAGTATAAATTATCGTAAGTAAATAAAAAAATGTGGCGGCTTGAGTTTTACAGTAAAAAATCCTAAATTATATTAACAAAACTCGATTGAGATTGTAGACCTGAAATATTTTTATTTTCATTAACTGGTGGAACTGGAGGTGGAGTGTCTTGTTCACGAAGAATTGGTCTCTTTGCAGATAGGACGTTCGGATAAACAATCTTATCTCTATTTTTTTTTGAGA